CCCCAAAACCCCAAAACCCCAAAACCCCAAAACCCCTGCCTTTGTGACAAGGATTGAACAAACGTAATTTTAAAAGAAAACGTATAAACAAGAATGATGATTGGGTGCTTTAAAGATAAAATGATTTAAACGTCTTGTTTAGTCTTCAGCTTAAACTGGCTATTCGTGAGGAAATCACCATTCTCTTTCTCAATTGTAGCCAGCAATTTCTTCTCTTCCTCTTTCTGAACAACAGGAGGTTTTTCAGATGAAGCTAGGTTAAATTTTTCGAGTGTTTGCATTCTCTCACCAATAATCAATTTCTTAGTTACTCTGATAAGTCCATTGGCTGGAGCCTGAACTACCATATGCAGGACGAACCCAGCTAAGAAGGAAATTACAATATTTGTGACAAATGCATAAACCATGGAGGGATACGAGATGAAGAATGAAGTATTAGTTCCTACAAATCCGAGGGTAATTATCATTGGGTAGACCAGATATCATCCTAAACCTATCTTGGAAAGAGAGTTCCAGACTCTTGACGAAAGAACCTTCTTCATTGCGTTACCATATCCGAAGAAAATGATGAACATGAAAGCAAGGACGCTGGTAAGGTATCCTGTTGTACCAAGGGCAAAATAAGCAGTGTTTTCCCACCTTGTCCATGAATAACCATCTGCATTTGCTGATCTTGGGATTCCGGCAACAAATATTAGCATTCCCGTTCCATATAAATAGAGTCAAATATTGGCTAAAAGCGAGTTGTGGAAGAAATGAAGGATTCTGAAATACTCTTTCTTCTCGTCATAGCTTGCTTTTCTGTATTCTAAAATTCTGAGATAGAGATATCCAGCATAAAGTCCAATAGCTAAGTTGAATAGCTTCGTGTGCAACTTATTGAACTGATAGGTGTAAAGGTAGTAGTCTTCGAAAGTAAGAATTCCAACAGTCAATTTGTTAGCATAAGCTATATATCCAACCAGCAATGTTCCAGCAATTTCAAAGAGAGCGAGAACTCCAAGGAACACGTTAGTGTTCCAGCGATAAATAAAAATCCATATTGGGAAAAAGAATAAACTCATAATGTAGTGGGGGATTAAATAAGGCCAATAGTAGCACCCTTCCAAAGCTTTCGTGAAGAATGGAAAATAAGTGTTCAAGAACGTAATCACAAATGGCCAATCAGAGCTTCAGCTGACAAAGAGTCTGTCTCCAACAAACCAGTTTGCTCCTGAAGATATCATAGGGATGATTAACCATCCTGCAAAGAAGACAAAGTAGTACAGAGGAGCGACCTTGAGGAATCCGTGAAGAAGAATACCTACATAATCAAAGATCCCAAGACCTTTACGTATATCATAGAGCTGGTTTATTTTAATAAATCACATCATGGTGATTATCATAAAGAAGAAGTCAGCGGCTTTGTTTCCTGAGGAAATAAGGGCGAAAATGAACTGTTCGAAAAATTCTAAAAGGATAGGCAAATTTCTGGTTGAACTAGTCAAGACATAAAGACTTGTGTACATGATGATTCCCCAGCATAGTGTAATTACTTTCATGCCTTCTATGATGTCAAGTTCAGGATCATCCAGTTTATTCCTCTTCGGAGATATTAAGTGCTCGAGGTTATCTTGGACAGAAAAGCATTTGATATAGCTCCAAAGGACAGATTCTCTCTCGTCCTCCTGAATTGGTTGCAAATTTGGGACAATATTATTATTCAGGAAAAGCGAGTTCTCTCTTTCTCTTTCCACCTCATTCTGACCTAATCTGTTGTGGATAGTATTGGGTCTCGAATATTGGGAAGCTTTGGTTTTTAACGTTTGAGCAGCAGTCCCTCTCTCCGCATATTCTTGTTCTTGCTGTTGTTCAACTTGAGCAGTCTGCTTTTTGAAATTTTCAGGCGGATGAGTTGGTACCGGAGTTGGTGCCATGAGCACTGCAATTGAACCTCCAAAAGATAACAGAACTAAAAATCCAATGAATCCACCCATAGCAGATGCGCTTGTTCCGCTCTCATCATTGGCTTGTTTATTCCTAGCAGTTGGTTGGAAGAAGTATACTTGCAAGCCTACGTCATTATCGATTAAGAGTCCAATATTCAATTGATTAGCCAACCCTTTGACTAGTTTGGATAAACTTTGAGTAATCGATTCTCCAGCTTTCTTCATCTTATCCCAATTGCATTCTGAAGGAAGGCAAAGGCCTAGCCTAATGTCAAGAGGAAGCTTAGTTATGTTAAGTTGCAAGATATTATACTCAGCATTTTCTACGTCATCACACTGTTGATAATCTCCAAGGTCTCCAACATCTGAAAACTGAGAGCCTAGCATAATTTTATAGCTACCTGAGAACATGTCTTTAGTGTATGCATTAACTGCCATAACTCATTCGTCTTGAGTTTCAGCAATTTTCCTTTTCCTTAAATTACTTTGCATAATTTCAAAATCCACTGATTCATGCACTCTAACAGTAGCTGAGCTAAGGTTATCGATAATAGCATCTGTGAGCTTTATGGAAAGTGCAGGCTCTTTATTGTGTCTACTCTTAAAAGAAACTCTTTTCCCAGAACTTAAAAGAGCCAGGGATATTGTAATAAGTCACAACATGAGTATCGTACGAGGATGGACCATTCCTAAAAATTAATAATATAGCTAAAATATTATAGAAAAGGGGTTTTGGGGTTTTGGGGTTTTGGGGTTTTGGGGTTTTGGGG